ACACCGCTCGGTCCTGAATTACTAAACAGTAATCTATGAGTTTTGAGGATACACGCCCGATCCTTGGGTACTCCACCCCATGTAACCGAGTTTTGAGGATACCGTCCGATCCTTGGGTACTCCACCCTACATAACCGAGTTTTGAGGATACCGCCCGATCCTTGGGTACTCCACCCGACCTATGATCTACCACATATCATACTAGATAGGGCCTATATCATAATCAATAAACAAGACTAAACCAAGCAAAATCATCCATGCAATTCATGCATTAAAATCAACATATAAGCAATATAAGGCCAAACCGGCGCCGGTTCAAATCTGATCGACGCCGGTTCATAATCAAATAATATGAACCGGGCTAAACCCGTTCAGACCGAAGCCGGTTCTATGCATGACCAGCGCCGGTTGCCTTTGGACAACCGGTCAACTCACAGTTGACACGCTATTTCAAATCCAATAGGTTTCAAACTTAATCACAACATGTATTAAGTTATAATCAACCATATTATGTATCATTTATCTCTAAACATATCACATATTTTTTTATAAACATTTTCATATCACAAATCATGCATATCTCAATAGTTCATTTCATACAAGCCTAATCACTTTGGTTAATCACATGTTTAATCTCATTTAAACATTATTATGAACACATATATCATTTACTTGGGTAATCTCATGCCTAACCCAAAAGTTACAAGACATTAAGTCATCCACTCACCTCAAATGAGCTTTAAGAAGTTCCACCCTTCTTAGTTGAACTCCGGCGAAACTCTGGCGAAACTCCGGCGAATTCTAGAAATACTTTATTCAAGCTCCTAACATGATTTTATCATCACAAAACCCATATCAATACAAATAACCTCTAAAAGGTTGTTTTCCGGCGAACTGGTTGTTTTGGCTTCTAAGTCCGCTCTTGGACTTAGAACCACCTTCCAACCCCCCATTCTACACTTCTAAACATGTAGAAAAATCCTAGGGGTCCTCCATATGCTATATAAGCCATATGATAAAATAAAAAGTAGAGGAAAAGTTATTATAAGGTTATTACCTTAATCTTTCACACTTTTCCTAATTTTTTCCTTCTCTAATCCTCCTCTTTGGACTCCTAATGCTTGAGCTCGAATTTTGCAGCTATGGAGGATGGAATTGGATCTCTCTTCTCTCTCTTGGAAGGCTTCGGTCGAGCTAGGGAGGAGGGAGTGGGTAGAGATGCTACTCTTGTCTCATTTGGGCAATGAGTGAAGGAAAAAGGTCCGCGTTTTATTTTTAGATGCTCTTCATCTCAATCACTCCTCTCCCATAATGCAGCTCTCCTTTGTCAATTTTGAGCACACAAAAACGTGGGGTGGCCCCCACTCATGTGGGAGGTCATCCCAACTTGTCCCGAAATGTACATTCGGCTCCGAAAGTTGTATTTCTCGGACTGTTTCAATTATATTTTATTTTATCGGGTCAAATAAAATATAAGACACGTTTTTAATCACTATTTGACATTTAGAATAATTATCCATCCCCCAACTTTAATTTAGAAGTCTCCAAAATTTGTTTCGGACTGTTATCCGATAAATTACCAATTCCGGTAATTGGGCCTTGTTTGACCGACGGGTCAACCCTATGCCCATTCTATGGCCCAACTAAAATATGTATCATCATATAAATATTATCTAGACCAAGATGAATATAATATGTGGTCCCGGGATTATCGGGTGGTCCCCGCTCTCGATGTGGGCCCCACGTGCAATTCACTATTCACGCAAAAGTAATAACAAAAATTACAACCTCGTAACATCATAATCATTATTCAAAATTTATTACATGATTTACTAACAAGTAAATATACTTGGGGCCGGTGTTACATCCAAAATGTTGTTCAATATATTGTAAAATGTCTAAAAATATAGAGAAAAACAGTCATTAAAAAGAAATAGATATTGAATGGTGGAATTACTACCGGTGGAGGCATTGTTTTTACTACATATTATTTTCCTTATTCTTAGAATGTTAAAAACAAAAATTAAATTTTTAAAGATGATATTGTCTAACAATTTCTTCATATGCAATAACCGCTATGTATTTACGCATTTGATTTTATTTTAAAACTATTTTATGCCCATTCTATTTATTTTAAAACTATTTACACATATTCTATTTATTCTAAGACTATGTGCTACGCCTTATTTTTAATAACATAATATTTTTTTATTGAATTTTGTTCCGTGCATCGCATCCCAGAGTGTGAATCTAGTGTAAACAAAAGGAATAACAGAGTACGAAATACAAAAGAAACGATGCATGTGTATAATTGTTTGTCACTGTTCCAAAATAGGTGCGCAAAGAATTACTTACAATACGTCAAGAAGATCCTTTTACTAGTACTAGTAGAACACCCTTGCGATGCACGATTGGTGAAATTTCATTTGTAAATTTTTAGTCAAATTAGAAATATAAAACAAATATGTAGTTTTAATTGAATAGTTTAGAATTATATAATAATACAATTTGACATTAAATGAAGAATAATCCCTTCATCCCATAGAAAGGTTCTCAGTTCTTGTTTAGGACGCCCCATATAAAGGTTCTCATTTTCATTTTAAGAAACAATTAGCAATCTTAAATGACATATTAATCACTAAATATTAAAAATGATACATGTATAATATCACAGTTATCAACACTAACCTCATTATAATATATACTCATTAAAATTATTTCTCGATATAAACTCAAACTACCTTATGCAATTATTGTCTTAATAACCGTGTCATTTTGCCATACGAAACTTTCAACGGGATGGTGGTAGTACTTAATACAATTTTCTAATGATTGTGGAGTAGTACACAATTTTTTATAGCCCAACAAAATAATAAGTAACACGAAGTATAAAAATAATTTGAAAATCGTTTGGTTGTTGGCTTTTTAGCCAAATCGCCAATCTATTAACAAATAAAACGTTCCAAAAAGCAGCGTGTTGAGGATAAAATGTTGAATACCAAACTACCCCATTATATTCGATTATAAACATTATGAAACACTACTTTATACACAAATTCTCGATATCACTGTTTGTTTCAGTGTCATCGTTTGCAATGTAATTTTTGTATGCTCGGCGATTGGTTACTTTAAACACAACTGCATAAAGCTAATCATGATTAAGAAGATGTTTTTTCAATAACAAACAAAGACGTGACAATGATTGTCTTTAATTATTATTTATAATCATGTTTGGGTATTATTGCTTCCCAAATTGGAATGATAAGCTAACATCTGAAATTGTTAATGAATGTTTGGGAATTGTCACTTTCTGACTCACACTAATCCACCTTGTAAAATTCTTTCTTCTAGTAAACATATTGGTAGTAATTTACCCGCACGATACACAAATGATTTTGCCAAAGAATTTTCCCTTTTCAAAAGTAATTTAATTGAAGGTGATTTGTTTTAATAAATAAGTAATAGGGCCAATAACGTTTCTCCCTAGCGGCTTTGCCGTCGCGTAGGGTTTTGTCTCCCTAGCGGCTTTGCCGTCGCGTAGGGTTTTTTCCGCCAATTGTTTGTGCGGCTCTTCTTCTCTAGGCTTCTAGAGTGCTTTTTAAGGAGGCGTGAGTGCGGCTATAGCCTTTGGAAATGAATCCAAGGCTCAAGAAACGATAATCATGTCTTCTATAAATGATTTAGAGCAGTGCTGTCTCATTCCTGCAATTGAGGAGGAGATCGAAGGGTTAATTTCTAGCGAATCAACATGGGTAGAGGGTGAATGACTGAGCAAGGTAGAAGACAGATCGGCAGTTTGCCCCCCTCCTGAACCGCCGCCTTGGAGCGATCGAGATGCTAGGGTTTAGAAAATTTATCAGTTATTTAATTTTTTTATGGTTTTATTTTCACATTTTTTATATTGCTCTGTTTTTTATTGATGTCTTTAGTTCTGGACTTACAATTATGATTGACAAATCTGCTAGATATTATGTCGATGTAAGGATCTATATGTGTTGTGTCACACCCGTTTGGTGGTTAGCGATTCATATTGCTTTTTCAGAGATGATCGTCTCTGAGTCTAGCCGTATGGTTGATAGTGCTAGTTGGTTAGTGATAGTTGTTGTCTGGGTTGGTCTTTTTGAGTTTGTTGTAACGATTCCTTTCCTATGATTTTAATATAAAGCGGTTTGTTTTGATAATAAAAAAAAGTAATAGGGTTATACAAATTGCATTGTTTTAACACAGGCAAATCAGGGGGTGCAAATATGTGGAAATGGGTAACCATATTTGACAACTTGTGAGCATGAGTCATTGCCTAACCAAGTTCCAGGAGCCTTGCATTTTAACAGGCTTTTCATTATTAGTCCATTGTTATTAGAAAGTTTGAGGCCCAATAAAATGCATCTCTCACCATTCGGCTCCTCATTAGTCCATTCCATATGAGAACCAAACCCTCCATTCTTGTGGCTGACTAAAAACATCCATCTCTAATGCTACAATGTGCACAATGCACATGTGGCATTAGGGGTGGACCCGATCGATGGTCTCGAACCGGACCGGAACCAGACAAGCTACAGTGGCACAGTGCAAGACCAGACCGGGTCTTATTTTCCGGTCCCGATCTTGGACTGGGTACCCGACCAGGTAATTCCCAACTCAGTCTCGAGTCAACGAAATGGGGACCGGACCAGGCGATCCCAGTTCCGGTCCCAACGTCTGATTTTATTAAAATTTATTTAGGGGGGGCGGATCGAAACCGGCCGGGTAGACAGAACCAGAACCGATTCCGTTGAAACCCGGGTAAATTTGGTCTTCACAAGTAATGCTTAGGACCGATCGGTCCGAGACAGGAACCGGGACCAAGTCCATCCCTATGTGGCATGAGAGATAGCCACTTAAGTATTAGCAAGTAAATTATCTCTCTCCTTATTTCAATGATTTTATACAATTATGTTGAATTTTTCTCTGCGATGTCAACCACAATGTCAACATCTAGACAGTATTTTTGAAATTATGGAGAAAAACTTATCAAATATGTATAAAATCATTCAAATAAAGAGAGAAATAATTTAATTGCTAATATTTATGTAAATTTAAGGAAAGTGATTTCATGTAAATTTTCGGTAGTGTATTCAGGTTGTCCGGTTGAAGGCAGTTATCCGAAATGATGAACTTTGTTGTATAGGAAATAGCTCAATTGAATTTGGATTCTGGAATATCATTCTGATCCTGATTTGAAATAGGTGGACGCTTTCCGTTGCATGTCCTAGAAAATCATCTAAGAAAAATGAGTCATCTAAAGGATCATAGCTGACCGAGGCATTTGAGTAGGCCAGAGTCAAAGACTCCTTCGGGTGTTTCTATGTAGAAATAATATCGGTTATATAACAACCAATAAGAAACCAAACAGCATTTTTGGATTGCCATGCATCTCTGCATTATAATAGAAATCAAACACTGTCATAGAAAATACCAGAATAGACCTACAAGTGTGGCATCCCACAAGAAATTTCACAATGGAAAGCATATCTTACACTTACACTCTTTGTAGGGAATCCGAAGGTTCTTTCAGAACCCGCAATGGGAGGCTTGGGAGCAGAATTGATCACAGGCAAACTCCAGATAATGTGTGGTTCCACAAAGTCACAAATATTGAAAGTTAAAGGGGAGATCGAGAAAAGAAGAGAGAGAATAAAACTGAACATCCATCCATCCATATACAAGGTGGGAATGGGGAAAAGAAAAAAACAGAGCTCAAACTGCTTTTTACGTTAAAAACATAACTGGCACAAAAGAGTACAGTACCACACAAGATGCAACAAGTAAAATATACGGAGTTTCATACTTTGTTCATCTTACATCTTTTTGTACTCTGCTTCACTTCCGCCGTTCTTAAGGGCTTTCAATTTTCTGTAACCCTTGTCAGTCCCAAATACCCTGACAAAAAAAACAGTAAACTAAGCAAATCCATATATTTTCAGGCAAGATGGTTTAACTCTCAATCAATGAACTCTATGTGATTGTCTAGATCCTGGAAAATGGAGAAAAGATGCTATGGAATTTTCCTGTGTTTGATTTTATCTCAACTAATGAAAGGAAAAGTAAAATACCATTAATGTTTTTGAAGCTCTTACATATTACATTTGTTTTTTCCACCATTTGCAATGGAGCCAAAGGTTCACTATTTTTTGACTTGAGAATATGATGGAATAAAGCAAAATGTCTCACTAAACTGTTTGCGCTTCTGTGTTATGAAGAAGCAATCAATCCATGCAATTTTGGACGCGATTTTCTCTATGAGTCATCCGGAATCAGTCTCTCTGTTCTATAGTACAAGGGTAGCTTTAGTACAGGAGTAACACTGCATACATTCGACCACCCTCCCCTATCCTACTGTAGGTGAGAGCCTTTGCGCCACTGGGGTAACGATAATGACATATTAAATATGCTTTTATACTTCTTAGTCTTTGATTCTTTATATGATAAAAACAAACAAATAAAAATGAGATATATTGAGCTTGAAGCAATGGTTTATCCCCCCCCCCCCCCCCCCACCCCCACCACCACTTTTATTAGTTCCGGTTTTCTAAATGTATTTCCCCAAATTTCTGTCCCTGACATATTTCTAGTTCAGAAAGGGCTCTATAATGTCACGGTAAGTGTTAAGCGTAAGGATGCAGTAAATATGAAAGCACCTAGGCAAGGTTTGGGTGCGGTAAGACAGAGCATACGCCGATTTAATCTAGGACAAGGCATAGCCGGCAAATAGAAGGCATGGCGTCTAAGCGGGTATGTTTGTTTGGACTTTGGAGTACATAAAAAGCTAGGGAAAGCCAAATCCTACGGAAAGTTTTCTTATGACTGATTTTACGGTTTTACCTTGTAAAATGCAGAGAAAAATGAAATACACAACTTTTATTTTATTTTTTTTACATCTAGTTTCTCCAAAAGTTTCTTTCCTTCCAGATTTTTTTCGCATTTTCACCCTTATTTTCTATCCCCAGTTCCATACAGACCCAAAGGAAAACGGCCACTGGTTAATTGGTCTGATTACAGCACACCAGAACAGCGTACTTAAGCATTACCCTTTCCCCTGTACCTTGTACTCAGCTTAAAATACAAAGACCAAACAAAGAGAAGACAGGACTTATCTGAAAGTTAATTGTCACACATGCATATTGGTGAAAAGATCTTTACCAGTCCATATAAACAAATGTTGATGAGTAGTTCCCAGACTTCGTATACAACAGTCGATGATGATAGTCGTGAAAATCAGCCCTGACAACCGAAGGACATATTTGAAGTATACTGCTAATAGAGAGTGTATTAAGAAAATGTGCGCTAAGATACAAACCCGCCATATAAAGGCAAGAGATTAGAGAGACTCCATGGGAAATGATAACCACAATGTGCCTCAACTGTCTCAATGACTCTAAGTACCATCCACAGCCATAGTGTGATGAGATGAGGGCCAGTGATTGCCGGACCAATTATTGTTGCAAATCCAAGAAAGAGAATTTCAGCAGGGTGAGCATATTCTGAAGTCAATCCAAATGGTGTTGCATACCTACAGAAGATTAACTCACTGATGAAAACGTGAACCATAATACTCCTTCAATTTGTGAGGGAATCTGAAACTTAAACCCACAATTTTACGTCATGGATAATTATTAAAGAGCTCCGAGAATATCTGTCCACTACATCCAAAATATACTAATTAAAAAATTTACCTTCATTTATGAATTCACTGACATTTAATAACACAGAATATTTTCCGGTTTGTTGCATATTTAATTTTGAAGGACAAACTAGGAAATACTCCGTATGTAATTAATGATCTGTTGTTCTAATAAATGGACTGATGAAAAGGATTACCAAAAACATAAAAACTGGACGGTCAAATAAATAGAGAAGGAGTAATAATCATGACAAAATAAACTGATACGAGTATCATTTACTTACTCATGATGGACACTGTGGACATGCTTGTATAGCCATTTTGTATGCAGAATCCTATGTCCCCAATAGAACACAAAGTCTTCCAGGATAAAGTAGAATAATATTTGAGTTAAAATCACCTTCCTGCGGGGAAAAAATTGTATCAGTGTTCATCCCCATAAAACTCAACTTCCTGCGGGGGAAAAATTGTACCAAAGTTCATCCCCAAAAAGCTCACCTCCCCACACACGCACCAAATTAAGGAAAACAGTATATGTGTGTTTGTGTCTCTGTAGTGTAGAAAAATAAAACAGGAGGGATGGAGGGAAGATGAGGGATATAGGCAATTGGAATAACCGGTAGATTGATATCATTCTACCATCAGGCGACAAGATAAATAAAAAATGCTCAATTCTATCTATGCAACTAAGCTAAGTATATAAAGAACCTGAAAATACCAGGATGGCAAAGGAAGGCTACTTCGCATCCCCATGTATCTAAAGACAGGGTAGGATAAAATCATTACTGGGAGATTAACACCAAAATGATACAGAACCAAGCGAGTGATACATTTTTCTTGAGCTGCCAGTGTGTTATGCTTTGTCTGTACCAAATAAAACACAACCATAAACGTTGATGAAATCAGGATATACTAAATGGGACCATTTATGTCTAATGCATCTGCAAACCCAAAACCTAAAGTGTTATTGTAAAATGGAAATATGTGTTTCAGTAATTAATAGAAATATCTATTTTCATTGGAATATCTGAAATCTAAAAAGGTTGTCTAAAAGGATGTCTGTTTTCGGTAATTGAAAATTGTAATTTTGAGGAGGCCATGCTCAAAGTGAAGATTCGTACACATGTCATACTGCCACTTTTGAAAACCACCTATTAATGCTAAGAGCTTAAGAAGACCATTCTACAATTACTACCTAGTACCAAATGCAAAAACAAATGGAAATTGCCAGATTAGAGCAATGGTTAAATTCTATCATCAATAAACTGTTTAGAACTAGCTATCAAAATCTTTTTTAGCAATGCCAACTAAACCCAAAATTGATTTACGCATGATACAAAAAGATTCTTTTTTCATGAACCCATTTTAACCTTTTTTTTGGCAACTTCTAGCATCAAAAGGAATTAAAAGAATACACTTAGGTGCGATATATTATAAATTAAAAAGTAGCTCTTGTTCAGTAACTTCAGTTTAAGCACAATAAGACTTCAGAGATTCATACCTGGATCTTGTACTTGCTCAGCCATCCAGCCCTTTCAAATAATATGAAGGGTAGCCCAGACAAGAAGAAGACACTTTCATGAAGAAAGAAACTACCAAGGCAAGCCAATTGGAAGTCACTAAAATGAGTAATAAGATACTGCAACATTAAAAAAATCCATCAGATGGGCATAACAATTGTTATCACACTTGTAAAATCTGGAGATTAACTGTTACGCAATTCAGCTGTATTTCTTTCTTTTTGGATTCAATAAACTGATTCACCGCACCATTTTCTAAACATATGTTTTAGCTAATTTGACCAATCATTTACATTACCAATTACCATCTCACATCTGAAAAGATTCGCTTTATTGTGATTGTTAAAGGAGCAATACTCAAGTTTCAACCACAGGAAATGGACCCTTTTAATATTCAGCTACTATGTCAATCTTCCCTGAGACTTGTATTGTATAAGGCATCTTAGTGTTTACAGGCCATTTCAAAACCTGATTCCTGAGTGTAGGAAACTTCTAACCTAAAGTTGAAGAACAATATGTTCTACAATTATCACAAAACATGATACATGTATAGAGTTGACTAATTATCAGGAGGAATATGTGCAGTTAAGCATTTAGATTTTGTAAGAAAAGAATTACTGCATATTATGATGGTGTGTAGAGTTGACTTACTAATAGGAGGTACGATATTAAGTGTTGATTTAGATTCTGTGGGGAAGGGGTACATTTTCAGATTTTTTCTGGAGAGGAGGGGGGATTCAAACCCAGACAGTGTTCTATAAGGTGCCTAATGGGGGAAGCTGGCGCCTAGCAGGCTAGCACCTTGGCTTCCTATTAAGTGCCTTGCAAATATGGCAATCCGCTGATCCAGAAGTGCATGTCATCCATGACATGGAGTGTCTAGCACATGCCATCAAAGCATCAACAATAGATCTAATTTACGAGAATAAAATAATACATGTAATCTAATGTGTGTGTTCCCATTAAGCTTGATACATATCATATATGTGACAATACGTCCATATGTCGATTAACAGAAAGCTAGATAAGCCACACCAATAATACAAAACTCAAAAGAATTGTCAATGACATTTGAGGGGAAAAGGGACAGGAAACTTCATTGATCAATTTCAACATGAAAACAGCGGAACAGATTTGAGGATGAACGAAAACTGGGTGAGTACTAATCTAGAGATGAACATGGGCTGTAGGAACTATTAGCCGTCACTTTTCTGTCCATGCAGAGGCCGCAAAGCTTATTTGATTAAAGGGAATGGCTCGACATGGTTCTCAATTGATTATTTATTAATGGTAAAACATTGCCATTTTGGTCACAAATTAAAAATTTAACTCGAGACAGAAATGACTTTGCTTTAGCCATGATAATTCATCCATAAAAGAACCCACACAGAACCTACCCGTCTCAGGCAAGGCATGACATGACAAATCTATCTGCTGCTTTTTAGGTGTTTAAGCATGTGCGAGGGATACTATTGAAACTAAAATATGACAGCAATTGCTGCCTTAATTGTTCAAGCATTGAAAGCAAGCGATGAAACTATTAAAACTGAAATATGGATATATCAAGTATGGCAGTATAAAATTTTCATTGCATAGTAATGATTAAGCTGAAATGGCAGTACCCACCCTGGCCACCCACACGCATGCTGGCAGTCTGCTGTGTCACACTATCATGATGCATGGACATACACAGAGTTACGTCTGGTAAGTGTTACTTACTGAACCAGTGAATCTGAACTTTAGACATTTTCACTATCTTATTAGTTAGGAAGTTTATCTTTCTTGTTATTATGATATTATCGAAATGTGCAGTTCAATATTTTCAAATGATGTTATCATTTTACATCAAACAGTTATTAAATCCTCTGCTAGTATGGTTTGTTTGAGATGAAGTGTCTAGGCATATCATGAATTTTGATATGCAAACACACAACAATTATATTTCAATGCAAAGCTCTGAAGTTCCAGGACATGGAACCTTAAACTATATCTCTTATTGCAATGCTGAATATCCCTCTAAATTTCAGCCCAATATTAAAACATTGGATCTAACCCCAAGGTTTCATTACCATCTTTGTCAGTTTAATCTGCAGCATGCAACTGGCATTTCTATGCTAAAAAAAGATTGACAGGCCACTGTGAATAATGATGGCGGTCTCATAATAAATGAATAAAAAAGGAACATGCAAACATTGAATAACCACACCATCACTTGAATACTTGACATGACATCATAAATGAGAAATACAACAACCACCCTGGTTAATGAAGAGAAACTAAGCATGCCGGCTCAAAAAAACAGCAATAGAACTTGTTTTCTCAGTATGAAAGACAAATTCTTTTATAATGGGAAAGCAATTTTCATTATGAAAATTAGATGAAGAGAGTACTAATCTGCTCAATTGGCAATCAACGGGGCAGCTGAGCAGCCCCATACGCCAATACATATTAATAGCAAAGGAAAGTTATCAAAGATGAAAGTAGGTCACGGGTCTAAAGATCAGCAACTCAAATGATTGCACATTTGCTTTATTATTATTATTATTATTATTATTTTGCACATTTGCTTTAAAAAACATAAGCCAGTGCGTCAATCCCAAAGTTATTGAGATTTCTTCTCAAGAACAAGAATTATAGCATGATTCCGATGGAAGGAGGCAAGAAACGGAAAACCGGAATTACACAGAATAAGCAATAGAAACAATGCGGCAAATCAACAAATTGAATAGATCAACTGGTAGCAATGCTGGAAACCTGGTCATTGAAGAGGCGCAATAGCATTTCAAAACGTAGAAAACTTACCGACCAAGCGGATTCGATCACCGCTGCCATGGCGAACGGCGATAATTGACTGGTTATCGGCTGGAATCGATCGTCGATAAAGACGAGAGAGACAGAGAGGAGGGAGAGAGAGACAGAGTGTCAGGGGGATCTGCGCGCGTGGCCTGTTTATATGAGTTACGTAGTATATTCGAATACATGGGCAAGCTGGTTACGGTTTACTCCTCGTATTTGGTATGAATACAAAGCCGTACAGTACAACACAAATAAATATTCTTGTCCATGGGAAACTTGGGCTGAATATGATGGCATCAGAGTATAGTATTCCTCCACGTAGTCATCACAAGTTCTAAAATACAGTCCATATGATTCTTCATTTCTTCCTTAATTCCTACCGCGTAATTGTAACAAACATTCTTGATGTACACACCTTATACACACCATGTTTGTGAAACTTTTTTTTGTCTGTGAATCCGGTTCACAGACAATATTTTGTTTATGCAAAACATTGCAAAAAAAAGCTTTCACAAACATAGGTGTTTACAAAAGTGTGTATAAGAGTGTGTACAAACATCATTTTTCGATGACAAAGCATCGGCCTGACCGGCGATACTCAAAGCGTGGACTCCCAATGACGTTGGTTGGAATCTATCTCTCTGTCGCGGCCCAATTTGTGATGACAGGCACTGACACTGACCATCCATGCTCAAGTTGTGGATCTCACTGGCTCTGGTCGGAATCAGTCTCTCAATACCTAATGTCTTCCAGATTTCTCCATTTATGCCTTCCTTTTCTGCACCACCATTTACTTCAATGGGTAGCGATAAAACATGAAGTAAGAATAGAACTTATATTTTAGTTATTCTCTCAAACTTCAATTATATGATCAATTCAAGTTATATGTCAGTTTAAAGAAAAGGTTTGATTAATCCATTTTAGGAATCTAGCAATTGTAATTCTAAACTGAATGATAGAACGATTTCTGATCCATTCTTGAACTAGGGCTTCTGTTCAGTCCATTCTCCTGCTTATTTTTAAAGCCTCATTTTGTATGCTTATCATATTTACAACTGATTCATGGTAAGGAGAAAGTAATAGCCATAGTCAGTGAAGAAAGCATGGTTTTTTTGTTCTCTGTTTTAAAATTCATGTTTATATGGCTTATCAGATGTTGGGATTAGTATTTTCACTTATTTAAAATATCAGAATAAAGAGTATAATGACTAAAGGAGTGATTTTCAACAAGGGTTATAAGCATTTATGTAATTTATCCTCCACTGTGTTATTTCAACTATGATGAGTTTTTCTCCGAACTAGGAATTTGCTAGGTTTTGAAAGTTCTATTTCTCCCTTTGAAATTTAAAACTGAAAGGGATAAATAGAGGTATCGCCTTTTATTCCTTTTTTATTTTGTAAACCTATTGTTTTTGAAGTTCGAAATCATTTAAATCGACTCTTATAGGAAGACTGCGAGATTATAATTTCAGTCGACTTTTCTTTTGTTCATGCCTACACTCTCTCAACTTTGTCAAAGTGCAGGTGAAATATTTGCAATCTCCTCTAACAGATATTTTGCACTACCGCTGCATATCGGCCTGTTATAGAGATGACAAAGCAAGAAAGGTTCAAAGAACTTGCGAGTGTTTTCTGTGTTTTCTACTTTTCTGATTTATTGTTAGAACTATTATAAGTACCCTTAAATGGTTCCATTTTCGACTTATAATTCATACTATTAAAGGCCAATTTTTCATGTTCTTAACCATTTCGGTTTTAAATATTCTTTTAGTTTTTGTGTTTTCTATTACTAAAGGTTATCAAATACTGATAAACACGCAAGTATATGCCTGCATATTGATTATTGAACATCCTATTATTATAGTATTAATGATTTAGTCTTTTGTAGCCTTTTCCGTTTTAATCTTCTTAATGCTTCTATGTATGTGTTATAGTGATATTGCGGTCACTAAGACCAAGAAGTTGGTTGATATGGCAGCCGATGATGTTCCAGTAGCTCCACCACATTCATCTAGACACCAATCTACTTGGGTAAGTTTTCTAGGGGAAATATCAATGCCTAATATTATTAATATGGCACTACAACAAAATAAGCTTTTCGTAACACTTTGTTTGTAACATTAATTTTTTTGTTACATATTGTATTTGAAATTGAAATTATGCAACACTTGCGTTTAAATATTGCATAAACAAGTTAATTATAGATTTATGCAACGGTTATAAGAAAAGTGTTGCATATATAGCTAAATATGATGTAACACTTCCATTTAAAGTGTTGCAATGACAAAAATGTAGATACATCGAATTATAAAACGAGACTATATTCACAATATTTGAAATATTGTGTGCCACATGGGGTTATTTTTATAATTTTCAAAATTAGTTATTTGAGACTGTGCTGAAAGGTTTCCCTTTAAAGTTTTCTTTGAAGTGTTGGAAAAGCTACAATTAAAGCAAAAGGAAAAATACTTCCTGCTATTGGGCAGTGAGGGGGAGTCGCTCGGATTCCAGGCGAGGCTGTTCTTCGCCGAATCTCCTTGGATTATAATATGGAGATTCTGTGATTGGGATCAGCGATGGAGATCCAGACACATGGTGATTTATCCTAGACCTAGCACTGCCGATCGAGAGAGGGTGCGGAAAAATTGGGGTCTCCTAAATGGCTGAGATTATTGCGACACGCAAAGGCATTTACTTCATGGGTCGGCCGACAAAGCCCCATCACTACGGTGGCGCTGGTACGATGGTGGCAGATTTCAGCATCGACCGATGGAGTTTCGGCCAGGGGAGAAGATAAATAGGTTTTCAAATCTAAAAAAGCTGCTTGACACTCTGTTGTCCACTCGAACGGGTTAGACTTCTTCATAATCCAGAAAAATGGAATTGTTCGATCGACCAATTTGGATAGAAATCTGCTCAAGGCCGCTAACCGACTAGTCAACCTCTGAACCTCCTTCAGGTTCCTTGGTGCTTCGATGTCCATGATAACCTTTATTTTCTCAGGGTTTGGCTCAATGCCCCACTCACTCATCATGTACCCCAACAACTTACCTCCCCTGACTGCAAAGGCACATTTCTTGGGGTTCAACCTCATGTTAGCCTTCTGCATTATCCCGAATATTTTTTTCATGTCTTGAACATGATTCTCCTTTTTCTGCTCTTGATTAGGATGCCATCCACAGAAGCTTCCATGGTAATTCTCAGTACTTCCTTGAAAAGCATCCTGATTATCCTTTAGAAGGTAGCCATGGCATTCTTCAACCCGAACGACATTACGATGTAATAAAATACGCCGTCCAAGGTGACGAAGGCCGTTTTCTCTTCATCATCCGGGTGCATGAAGATCCGGTGATATCTCCAGAAGGCATCCATGAAACTCAATAGTTCACACCCAGCTGTCTCATCTACCAAGAGATCGATCCGAGGTATCGGATAGGGGTCCATAGGACAGGCTTTATTCAGATCAGAATAATCCACGCACATCTTCCAAGTTGATCCTTTTGGAGCGAGTACTACATTAGCCAACCATTCGACATGAATCACAGGTCTGATGTGTCTGATTTTTAGCAAGGTGGCCACCTCCTGTTTTGTAAATTCACGCCGTTCGCCCGACTGATCTCTTTTTCTACTGAACTGGCTTGGCGTCAGGCCGAACGACCAACTTGTGACATATGATCTCCGGATCGATGCTCGGTATATCCTCAGGCCCTCGGGCGAACAATATCTGAAACTTATTCAGGACTGCAATCACTCCCTCCCGTATTTCTGCCTCCAGATCTATCCCGATCGCAATCTTTCGATCGGGGGGAGAATCAATGTCGACATACTCCAAGAGGGTAGCTGGTTCAGGGTGTGCCTCGAACTCCATTCAACAGGCCTCCACCTCAATGTTGTTTACTCGCATGCCACGGGCATTGATCTTCTTCATAGCCTCTCGATAACATGTTCGGGCTATCGCAGGGTCTGTCCGGGCTACCCCAACTCCAGTATCTGTTGGGAATTTAATGCATGAATGTCAAACAGAGGCTATTGCCTCTAAGTCCTCCAATCCTGGCCGACCCAAAATGGCGTTGTGGGCACATTTATTTGATGTCCACTACCACGAACGTCATTCGGATTGATGCCCTGTGAGCTTCGTCTCCAAACTCGGTCAGCAGTTGGATGGTTCCTTCTGCCTGAATGTAGTTCCCAGTAAAGCTTGCAAGTGGCGTCTTCAGGGGGTTACCTGATCTATACGCAGCCCCATTTTTTCGAACGCGTGTGGGTACAACACGTTCACGTTGCTCCCCGTGTCTATCAACACCCGACGAATCAGCGCGTTGTCGATACACATCCTAATCACTAGTTCGTCCCTATGCGGACTTGGTGAATTGGGTAGATCTGCAGGCCTGAATGTGATGGGATCAATCCTTCCTTTCTTCTGGGGCGGGGTGGAGACGGACGCCACATAGAGGCTCCGTTCGAACTTTTTTCGTTCGGCAGCTGAATCTCCGGTTTCCCCTCCTCCGAAGATAACTTTCACCTCCATCCTTGGTTTCTTTCATGGATTCCCCAACCCTTCTGATTCCTCTCTGGGGGGCCTGTACATATCATTTCTTGGTTCAGCATCACGCTGATCATCCTGTCTCCAGCTATTAGACTTCTTGTGCTGCCTCTGATTTGGGGAAGGCCTGTTCGGGTTATTATTGACATACTTACCCAGATGGCCCTCCTGGATCAATTCCTCAATGGCAATAGCCAGTGCTCGGTAGTTCTGAGTGAGGTGACCCTTCCGCTTGTGATACTTAAAAAAGGCATTCTCATCTGCCCCCATATAAGATCTGGTATCAGTAGGAGGAGGAATGTTATCCTTTTCGTTCTGGAGAATGGTTGCAATGGAAAGGACAAACGGGGTGAAACATCTTGTCCTTGGAGGGAGTGTGGTCGTCATAATAGGACCTAGCCAATCGACTATTCTCGTTGGTGCAGCAGGTGGTGTAACCTTATCCCTAATCATGATCTCCTCCTCCAGCGCGGCGTGCTTTGGGCCCCTTCCAGTTCTTCGGCATAGCATGTGCCTGGATTCTTCTTCAGCCCCCTGTAAAGCTCTCTGGTCTGGAGGGAATCAGTAAAGAGAGTGATTGTCGTATCTTCTGTCATACTCCCGACCTTCAATGTTTCGTCCCTCCATCTGATCAAAAGTTGATTGATAGATTCTCTCGGTCCCTGCTTGACATTGTTCAGGTAGTTAAAATGTCATTTCGGGGTGGCACTAGAAGCAAAATGTGCCAATAATAAGGAGGATAACTCACCAAAGTTGCCGATCGATTCGGGCTGCATGGTGCCGAACCACTCCTGGGCGGATCCCTGAGCGTGCTGAAAAATAATCTGTAAATGGTTGACAAATCATTTATTGCAAAGAGTTATTGCACTTCTCTCTCTAGCTCTCACTTCTCTCTAGGAGTTAATACTCCATCATTTGGTGCTCTCGTTGAGAGCCGAACTCAGCGGCGGGTTGGCCCGCATCGGCTGCCGACTTAGCAGCCCACTGAGCCTTCAGCTCTTCGGACGCCTTCAGCTGCGCCCTCTTCATGAACGACACACGATCCATAACAAAATCTGCATAAAAAGAAAAAACACACAAAGGGTCAACAAACAAGGGGATAAATGATAAGTTCGTATTTAGACACGCATTTGATGCGTGTTGAGATCGGCTTTTGATGATTTTCCTAGCTTTAAGGTGTTACAAGTCTCAATTTTAGCTCAAGTTATGTTTACCGGGCATTGGTTCGAGTTTTGTGTCATTTGGAGTCAAAATCAGGATTTTAGAGTTCGGCACTGGCGCTTGAGGATAAATCGGGATGAGTTGAAAAGCATTTGAGATTGATTTGAGATCTATGGAGGTCAGCGGGAGGTTTACGATGAAGATTTGATGACAAACGAGCTCTAGGATTGGCTTCGGGATCAAAAGAAGATGAATGAAGTTTGAAAACGATGATCAGGATGACCTTCTGTCAATCATTCAAGAATATATCTTTGTAGAAACAACTAATGGACATGATTCAAGTTGTATATGAAAGAAAACTTCAAGGGCTACAAATCATATGAAGACACCATTACGAGAATAGGAGAGCAAGAATGTGCAAACAGATGACGAAGTCAGATGATCTCTGCTGCGTTTTCAGAATGACACCTTCCACCGTTTTGATCTTATCTCTTGATTGGATGATTCAAATCACATTCGGAAAGTTGGGGTGGATAGAGGACTTCATTATCTAAAACTTTCATGAAGGAAGTTTTGTCAAATTCGGACTAGAGAAAAGGCTGAAGAACACGGACGCACGACCGTGCGTCTGGGACACACGATCGTGCGTAAGAGCCAAAACCGTGGAGGAGCTACTGCCTGCTACGCACGATCGTGCGTAGCCAGGGACGCACGATCGTGCGTAGCACCGAGTCACACGCGGAAATTTCCCACATCGACCAGAATTGTGATTTTCCCCCTCTTTTCTATAAATAAGGCCTCCCTAACCCTTTTTAGGGGGACGAACATTACGGAGAGGCCTAATGACGAATTTAACACCGTTTTTACGCTATTTTCTTCCAAGGCCCTGAGATTATTTGTAAGTTCATCTTTTTAATTAATGACAATTTATATTATTCTTCCCAATTCTGTTGATTCTTCAATTATGAATTGTGAGTAGTTTAATTAGGGATTTGGGATTGATGAAGGGGTTAATCATGATTGATGGCTAGATTCTTTTCGATTTAATTGCTTGAATGCCGTTTAATTTGTGTTTGAATAATTTAACTGATATATTTTGTAACCTGGAACCGCGGCTAGAATTACAATTGCACATAGAATAAATTAAGAGAGATCTAGTTTATTCTAGGACACATTCACACACACTTAATCGTTGGCTAAGAGATTAGTAGCGATTAAGGGGTCGCAAGCTCGCTCGTTTTGGCAATAATTTAGAATCTTGTCGCATGAGAGATCTGCCTGGTCCCCTAAATTATTGCACTCTACGCCGCGAGAGCGGTAAGAACTT